TCTTCTTTTTCATGTTCTGTGTCCTTGCTCTTACATAATGATTTCCCATCTCGAGTCTCCCTCAACCACTCTTTGCTCATTTCTGCCTTCCATCAGGCCTCCCAGATCCAGCATTCCTGCTAAAAATAATCCTTTTGTCACAAATAACCTCATACTCACATGCAGATCTTTATGTTACTCTGCAAATAACTTATTTCTTAGAAAACTTCCATATCAGCCCATCAATATATGGATCTTTTGAAATGTTCTTGTTTTTACTTTGATTTGTGTTCTGTCAGTCTTTTTCTTCTGTTTTTACAATGGCATACTACTCCGTTGTGTGGCTCTGCAAAATTTCTTTAAACCATACCTGGTCCATGGACATTTAATCTGGTTTCAATTTTCACTGTTATAGGCTAGGTTGCACTGAGCATCTTTAGAAGTTTATAACTTGAACATTTTCAACAGCAACAAAAAATAAGCAACCTAAGAGCAGCTTTAAAGGTCTTACAAGCAACAACTTAGAGCCCATTATCTGAGAGGTGCCTAACAAGAAGGAACAAAAGGAAATTGGTGGGAATGAAAGGAAGAGAAGGGAAGGAGGAAGGGGCTCAGCTCTCATCCATCTCACTTTAAAGGTACCTGCAAGAAACGAGAAACCTCCTGTCATGACCAACCTTTTTTGTGCATTTGTTTCAGAAAATGAATGAGAAGATGATGTATCCAGATAGCTATGCCATTGGAACAATGTTGTCATAACTGTGTCTTCAATATCCCAATAAAATAATTGGCATGGAATTCCTGATTGCCACCTGTCTTTCTGGGTATGGGGCCGTGTGGATTTTGATGGCCAGAGACACAAAATAGGAATATCAGGACCCCTTCTCACAGGTTTTTTTAAAGTGAGCTTCCCTGCTCCTTGATCCACAAGCCAGGAGCCAAGTGAAAGGCTTCCATTGTGCCCAGACTTCCCCAGATTCTGTAAGACATATGCAAGTTTTTCATTACTATCATTGTTTGTGAAGGCCCAGCCTCCCCAGGGGCATCTGAAAAAGGGGTTGAACATTAGTCCATAGAGTACTTTGTTCCATGAGTTAATTAATTAATTCCCCAATGAGAGCCATTTATCAGAGTAAGGGCAGGATCAGAGCAGAGCAAAGCCAGGGCTTTAAAGCTCAAGAGCTGTGTGTCTTTATTCCTTCAGCAAAAACAATAAAACAGCTACATAGCTAATTCAGCTACTGAAAGGTTACAGTGTTTTCTAGTTCATAGCAGTTATAGTGCCTTATTAGCTTACTGGGATGTGGTGAGACAAAACACCAGCTGCATGACCTTGGCCATGCCATGCATGTGTGATTGAGTACGTTGTCATTCTTCTGTAACTGTGGCCTCTGAGAGCAGAGTCATGTCCTTATGTGTCTTTGAGTGCACTCAGGTCTCCCGGGCCTTTAAGTCTAATCAGAATTGGTACTCTACAATGCTTTACTAAATGTCTAGTAATTTTAGGGAAACAAAGAAAATATAAGAAATTTGAGAAAGTTTCTGAAACTGAGGAATGCTTCACATTTCCCAAAATGATCAATCCTAGTTTCTAGGGAAACTCATGTGGTTCTAGGGCTCTTCTCCCTAGAACAAACTGCACTCATGGCTCAATCCTCCCCCTTGCTATATCCCCAACAATTGTTTGTTAAGTTTTGGTGAGTTTCATCCAAGAGGCCGCTTGATGGATTTTGAGAGGCAAAGGAAGGTCCTTCATGCCTGGGTTTAAGTCTTAACTCTTATTTTTCTTGCTAGCCCTGGACTCTTAGCAAATTACTTAATACTCTCAGAACCTCACTGTTCTCAACTATGAAATGAGAATAATACTGATTGCCTTAAAAGATGAAGGCTAACAAGACAACATAAAAGACAGAACAGAGGTTGCCCTCGCAACTTCCTCGTAATTACTTTAGAAAAGTAGACATAAAACTGTAAAGAATTAAATGGTTCCAATTTTAAAATTTCAAGATTTTTTTCTCAAATATCAAATTATAATTATTGAACTATGTAAACATCAAATTAAAATATCAGATTATAATCTCTGACAGTATTTCTTCCAAATGTGGAAAAGCATCTCTTGGTCTGCATTTTTTTGCCATTTTTGTTTTAGCAGTCTTATAATTTAAGAAGATATATCAGTGTCTTTTGAAAGTATCTACAGGTCTGATATAACTATTGGTACACATGCAATATGGAGTTTAGTACGTAACAATGAGCACTTGAAACACAAGTCTTTCACTTCTACCAGAGCAGAAATCCATCAATAGAGTGAAGTATTGACCACATAAATCAAAGTTGGTCTGTTTGTCACTCAGAATAATGTACCTAGAATAAAATAGAAAACCTATCTAAGTTATAACATTCAGTTCTTGGTTCTTAGAGTATATTAAAACAGTGTATGTAATAGTACAAGAGTTCTCATCATTCTAATTTAAAAAACAGAACAATATACACTGCACAAATGAGAAGAGGAAATTTACCACAGATGCGTGGATTTTATAAAGAAGGGAGTAACATAAAATTCCACTTTGATGTAGAAAGTCAATGAAATTGACATTAATGCAAAACCATGTAAATTTCCAAATTTCACCCAAGACTGTTATGCAAAGTGGAATAAAAATATCCTTGGAATAAGTGGAAGAAGTTGGTCTTTGGCCACCTTTCATTATCACCTCAAAATGAGTGAACATAGTAATTTTACTATAGACTTTTTAATTTTTAATTTTACTTTTTTTTGTTGCTTTTGAAATAGGGTCCTGCTATGTAGTTCAGGCTGACCTTACTCTCATTATGTAGCCCAGGCTGACCTTGAACACATGGCGATCCTCCTGCTCAGCCTTCTGAGTGCTTGTATTACATGCACTTGTATTACATGCCTGACTGACTTCTTATATTATTAACATAGTTCTTACAATACTAATTTTTTCCAAAATATAGGAAAGGTTACCAAGTTTATGAATTCATTCTGTAAAGGTCCTAAAACAAAATATGCGGGACTCACAGCTATTCCATTAAATTCTCCATGAACAAGTGAACACCATGCTGAGAATAACAGAGAATTCCAAGGATGGCTCCATGTCAGGAAATTTCCCCATCCTATCAATGGCCTCAACATTTCACTGAGATGTTCAAAGAAATCAGACAGGAAAGAAATTAACATAATCACCACCAAATTTCCAAACTTACACACACAAACCCTAGACAGCTTTATACCTCTTGTCCTCTCTTTTATCCCATTATTCTTGTCACGTCCTGAAACAATTCTAGAAGTCCTTTTTCATGACCTTCTTCAGTTCCACTGACCCGTCTGCCTTGATGTCCTCTACTGATTCAAAGCATTTACCTTTCACTGTTATTTGAACTGTGACGAAAAGCCAGCAGTCCCAGTGCCAGATACACTGAATAAGGTAGATGAAGACACACTGTGAAGTTTTACAAACATGTCTTACCACTGAATGACACACGTTTTTATCTTTGATTTTGTGAAATATATATTTTATACTCCATTTTAAGAGTGAATATCCATAAAAGCCACTAGTAAGCAGTTAAGTGTTATATGTATTTTATTTTAGAGTACAAGCTGAGGCTCAGAGAAATATTTGTCAGTTAGTGAGGAAGCTGCTCTCCATGCCAGGTGCCACCCAGTGGTTTCCACGGTACTATGCATCCTGCTCTGTACTTTTTCTCTAAAGCTTTTCAATAAGAAATGACACCACAACCCTGCTTTCCAGGCAGGCGGTGGAACCACGGAACTAAATCCCTGGCCCTATGTATGTGCTTTTATCTGACTAAAAACTAAATAAATTTTATATTTAAAAATTCTCCAGGTAATTGAAATATACACCACTGGTCCAATGAAAGGCCTTTAATTCTGGTACTGCAAAACAAAAAAAGTCTAACTTCCTTAACAAAAACAAGTATCTTATACTGCTTTATTTGAACATTCCTATATTAGATTATTACCATTTTCAGGGCTGAAGAGTAAACCCAGGGCCTCTTGCATGCTGGGCAAGTGTGCCCAGCCCTCCATATTAGATTTTGATCAACTTTCCACAATTATACATGCATCTCTCTCCTATCCCATCTTCTCAAGGTTGCATAATCATTCTTTGTTAAATCAGTGGCCAACATTTTAATAACTGAGTGACTTTATATGACTAGTATCATGGTTGAGAGACACAGTATAGTTTTTAAACTTTTTAATTTTTTTTTCCTGGTGTTCATTATTACCAGTTTGATTTTCTGAAATTTGAAAAATTGATAATTATTCATTCACAGACTTTGAACAACGAAAAATCTCTAATATATTCAAATATACCAGGTGCTTTCAACATTTTTTTCTTTTAGAAATCTCACTTGGATTCTCCATTTTCTGACATTTCCAGTTGACTTCATACTCTTCTCCCTACCAACTTTCCCCTTTAATACTTATATTTCTGTTTCAGAAACTTTAAGGCTAATAAGATCGTCTTTCTCCTTCACAACAGATTGCACTTTCTTCACAATTTTTAAGTACAGTAGCACCATTTTCTTTACGGTCCTCTCCCTCTTCCAACATTGCCATTTGTCCATGTATTTGTACATCAAGGCTAATAACTTACATTCTACTTTGTAGCTACGATTAAGTATTCCTTTAAAGATAAAAATCATACACAACATTTACATTATAATTATTTAAATGATATTCACAAAATAGCCAAGTTTTATGCTGTGACTTGATTTCCTTTTCTTTGGCTCCAAGGTCCTAAATCCAAGCGCTGTTCACAGGGGCACTGAGATACAGTCCGTTTCTCCTGCTTTCACCATTCGTTCAAAATGCTGCAGTGTTTCAGGTCCAGTATTAGGCGGATGTTTTTCTTGTATAATTTGTTTTTCACTGAGAATTTCTGTATCTTTTTCGTGTGGTGTCAAGAAATATAGGCCTTCCACTTCATATCCTAATACCATGGGTTATTCGCTTACAAACCGGTCAAGAATTTCCGAAGTTCACTGGTTGCTTAAGTTACACCATAAATTTGTCGTTCATTTAACATTTTTTTACTGAAAAACTTTGGCCTTCCTTTTTCATAACGCATTCTGCGCCGTTTCTCATATCCCGGAATCTGTCGATTTCATTTTAAGGACACACAGCTTCTTAACCATTTTCGTGGGTCTTAGCTGAAGGCCTCCCTTTCCGGAATCTCATCTCTTCTCTACCTAAAGTCCACAGGATTTTCCCCACACTTCAGGGACGGCTCGGAGCGGAGAGCACACGCGCGGAAGGCTCCCGCAAAATCTCGCGAGATTGCGGTGCTCGTCCCCAGCAGCTTGGCTGCGCCCCGGGGCCTCCTGGGAGCCCCCCCATCCTGCTGGCAGTTTGCTAACGGCTCTCTATATGTGTACCTGCAAGCGGATGTTCAGTATCACAGAGCCCGCGACGTAGAAATAGGGGAAGTTGATGCGCAGCTGCCAGGCCAGCTCGAAGAAGGCGAGCAGGGTGCGGGAGAGCCCCTTGCAGAAGACCCCGTATGAAGTGGGGGCCACTGGCGGGCTTGAGGCCCTCACGGCCAAAGAAGACGGGGCCATGGACCAGCTGTCACCGACGGCCCAGCGCCGGAAGCCGAAGGTCGCCGCAGCTCTGCAGACCCCTGTGCCACAGCCGGGAACCGGGGTAAAGCGGCCGCCGAGCTCACACCTGCGCGTTCCGCAGCCGCCGCTGGCTCCAGGGTGGCGCTCCGCCCCTTCCTGTCTGCTTCTAGTGGTGGTCAGAGTTTAACCAGTGGTAGCACTGCAAGGATTATGTTATATAACATGTACGGACAGCCGCACCGGTAGATAAAGCGGCCGCCGAGCTCACACCTGCGCGTTCCGCAGCCGCCGCTGGCTCCAGGGTGGCGCTCCGCCCCTTCCTGTCTGCTTCTAGTGGTGGTCAGAGTTTAACCAGTGGTAGCACTGCAAGGATTATGTTATATAACATGTACGGACAGCCGCACCGGTAGTTCCACTTTAAAATAAAAAAGCTAAGTGAAATTATGTAATTTTCTCAAGGGCATACAGCTTATAAGGTCCGGATGGGGTTAAAACTCGTGTTTGTCTATGTGATCGGAGAGCTTAGCTACCCTTTCGACATACTTAGTTGTACTGTTAGGGCAAGATGATTTTACACAAGCCAGTGCAGATACACGGTCTCTCTTCGTTATACACCATAACTGTAATGAAAGGTCACAGTAGTAGGCTATGGGTTTTCCTATGTACAGATTAGGATTATTTAGTTTGCAAGTGGCAAATCACTAAAGCAAGTCCCCCCTCCTTTTGTTTTTGCAGTGCATATATACAAAATCATTCCCACTCAAAGGAGATAAGATTAAGGATGGAAGTTCCCGTTATTTCCACATGCAGATGCACTTGAAAAACCTGGGCTAGGTTGCAAGGCTTCAAATACTACTAACGTTTACAGTACTTTCATACTGTTAAAAGCCTTAAACTTCCATAATGGGTCTCCCATAGCCACATTGCTTTTCTGATGTTTAAATGATGTACATTTTATTACCTTCACAAAGCTCCCATTTTTAACTAGAAAGCACTGTATTTGTCATCATACATAACCTACATTCATGGGTTATTGCAGTGCATGGTTTGTGATAATAAACTTCAGAGTACGGTCTAGTTCTGAAAATTTTTGTTAAAACATTCCATCTCTCTCCCCATACTGATTGTCTGTGGCAGCTATTCAAATTAGAATTACTATAGCCTAATGTACTTCTGTTTCTATATATTCTTATGACTGATAGAAATAACAGTCCGTTTTGAAATTCATAAAATTGTGTGTCCTCAGCTACAGTTTCTTCTTTTGCGACTTTATGGTGCCCCAGCAACTGGAGGAATTGATTACTTGTAACAGCCTCTAAAATACTGGTATAAAGACTAAAGAGCAAAATGATTGATCAGGAGAATATGTATAGTCTTAAAACTGAAACAATTCATAGAGCTTTTCAGCATTCACAGTTATAGAAGTCATTAAGTCCCTGCATCTTTTACTGCCAACTATGTAAGACTATGTGTCCTTATTCCGTGTTCCATTTGTCTCTTGTGCCAATCCCCTTTGATGCCTGGCCTCGATTAGCTTAGAAATAAATCTGGAAAATCCTGTCTTTCACTCTGACTCTAGGGAATACAAGTAGCTATCCACTGATGCAGTAGCTTTGTTGAGGGCCTATTCTAACGGGAAAGGATATGTAAAGATCAGTAACAAAGACCCAGTCTCTATTTATAATGCTCTAGAGCTGATGAAGGAGATCCATCAGGTGGACCTGACAGTGGAGGGTGGGATAGGATCAATATTTTAAATGGTTGTGGTTTTTATTCTGTCCCTTAATCTTTAGACTTGAAGGACTAATTCATGATTCTTGCCAATAAGAACATAGCGAGCAATCACAAATAATATGTCTTAAATCATTCATCTGGATGGTATTTTATTGACTTCACTTGGCCTTCCCCAACCTTTTTTATCTCCCTACTTTTGATTCTGTATCCTGGCTTCAGGACTTTTAAAAGGCTTACGTAGCTCAGTGATCCTTCAGAAAGGTTATAAGATAAGCTGAAGTGGGTTTGCAAAATTCGTTATTGCTGAATTCTCAATTCCCAAATTTACCAATGTAAGTACTGTTATGTAAAAAAATAAGTTCAGAATGTGAGGATTGGATCCAGATGATCCAAGCCTGAAGTTAAGAAAGATTGCAAATTGGTAACAGGGTGTTTCATATTTGCATGCTAGCAGATTGGGTTCAGTTTCAATAATTATCATACATGGAAAATGCCTGATGTTTATTGGAAAACTTTTGCATAAGTTTCATAAAACCCTGAAAGAAAAATAAGTTACACGTATCAGCTACATACCAATGATTGGGTTACATAGCAACTTCGAGCAAGTTTTGCATGCACACTGTAAAATCAAGCATAATAGTATCAGCTGCAACATTGAAAATTAAGATTTTTTTCTGTGTTAATTATAAGAGTATTTTGTTGATGGTGGTATTAGTTCATATTTAGAATGTTTGAAAATGATTATCCTGGTGCCTTGATGCACTGTTATTGGAAGTTCTCTTTAATAGTCTTTGTCAATGTAGTCATTTCTAGAATTTGTTTACACCACACTATTGAGTTTTACTAACACCAAACGTAACACTCCTCCCGTTAGGCTTTGGTGAGTTACTTAAAGCCCTCTGTTTTGCTTTCCACCTAACTTTTAAATTCAAGATAGCTAATTTTTCTCAACCATTTTTCTCTGGATCAAGTATAAAAGTAACCATATAATTCTGATTCTGATGGAGTGAGTTTTCAGTATTAACATTTCATTTGGAAGCAAATTCAGTGTTTTGTGAAGGCCTTTCCCTGGAAAATATGCAAAAACACTGAGACCTTGAAAGCTATAATGTCTTATTTTTCTCTTTAACAAATAGTATCGAAAAACATTTTTACAGTAAATTTGATTCATTTATATAGAATATTCTCATAGCTAAATGTATACTCTTTATTTCTAGAAAGTCTTTTTTCTCTGTTCTCCCCTTCCTCTACCTCTTTTAGATAATGGAACATACATAGTAACTGTCAGATTATTAAGATCTATTCTATTTTGGGTTTCAAAGGCCAAAGAAATTGTCTATTAATCATTCACTAAAAATTGAAAAATAAATCGACAAGCTTGTAAAACTTGCATATGGAAGAGTATGATATGTATATATTCATAAATATATTTTGGGAAATAATTTGAGAATTCTGCTTTTTCTAGAAGGTAGGAAACAATAAGAAATTATTGCTTTTATTCTATCAAGGAGAATAAAACACTGGGCCACAAATTTATAGTTTAATTTGAACTCATGAGAGCTGAGATTACAAGGTAAGCAGGTAAACTGAATTCCAAGAGATGATGAGCTCTTCCAGGAAAAATATACAAAATCTTTCATCTTTGGTAGAACTGAGACAGAAGAAGTATCTACTATAAATGTATGTCAGAAAAAAATGGCTGCAATTTCAACCAATTATTATAATAGCTAATAGTAGGCTATGGGTTCAGCTTAAGAATCCTGGAAACCCCAGACACAGAGTGATATGTAATTGCCACTTCTGTTTTCTGGTGCTCTAGCAAGGATTTGCTAGAAAGACTGGAGACAGGTCAGGAGGTATAAAAATCGTTTTTCATACATGGCGTGGTAGGCAGAATAATGACCCTCTAAAGATGTTTATATTTTAATCCTGGGACTTACATGGTATGAGAACTTTGCAAATGTGATCAAGGGATATATACCCAGATTTTTTCAGGCTGTAATAAGGCCTTAAATGTAGTCTGTCTTAGCTAGAGAGAAGCAAATAGGGAGAGGAGAGGAGAAAAGCCAAAAGCCATGGATTACATGGTTTCTAGGAGATGGAAATTACAAGGAAATTGATTCTCCCTTTCTGCTTCCAGAAAGCAATGCAGCCCTTCTGATGACTTGATTTTTAGCTGACTAACTATTATGTCAGAATACTGATGTATAAAACTGTAAAATTGGGGTGTTTAAGTCACTGAATTTGTAATCATTTGTTATAGCAGAAATAGTAATCTAAAGCACATGTGAATGTGGTCTGTGTTTGAAGATGGAACTAAGCACTAGAGAAGTCCACCTGCACTTTAGACCCCATATAAGTGAAAGGTCACCATTGGCTACTGCTGGGGGACAAGCAAGAGAACTCATGTTCTGAATCCTTCATTAAGCAAAATATGCCACTGCCAAGTGAGGGGCAGGCAATCCACTGTAATTTGGACTCTACTCTGATACCAAGCAAAAAGCCCTGGAAACAGGAAAAGTGATAAAACTTTGTACCCCTGGACCTGGACTGACACGCTGAAGGTCTGCTGCTACAGAAAGACAGGAAATTCATTATGGGTCCCACAGTGACCCTAGACAGAAGCTATCTGCAACTGAGAGAAGGCACAAAATTTTCCATAATGGACCATGCATGGACAACAGGCAAAAGCCATTTGCTGCTATAAGGGGGCCAGTTAACCTCATGATAATAAGACCTTCCACTGATAAGACATTGATTGGCTGGTCCTTGGGGAGGCCAGGAAGACTGCCTGCCTTCGATTCCATTACTGACACTAGGTAAAAGCCATGTATTGCCACTGGGGTGAGAGGAGGAAAGCCACCTTCAACCAGAACTCACACATATTAGCAATATTTTGTTACTGTGGGAATGGTGAGAACACTAAGCCCACATTTGAGGGAAAAGTACATAGCTGGTGATAGAGGCAATTGCTGGAGAAGAAAAACACCATGAACTTCACCGAGAAACAAGATTGTGGTAAGATACCTTCTCTATGGTATGTGGATGGACTCCTAAAGCTGAACACGAACGCCCGAAACTCCTTTTCACTTCAGCCCTTACAGTGAACACCAGGCAGTGGCATTCTGTCTGGAGTACTTTGAATCCAAATGCAGATAACACATGGAATTACTTCAGTTTCACATATGAATGGCCTGACAGAATAGGAGGCATGCCCATTTTTGAATAATATTTACCTCAGAATTTATTGTATATATGTAAACATACAAATCACTTGCCATTCATAAGAGAAAACAATGGCTAAGAGGTTGGAATTATCTGTTTTTAATCTAATCATGACTTAGCAGAGCATGGTGATGCATGCCTGTAGTGCTGGCATTTGGAGAGTGCTGGCTGAGGCAGGAGCATC